ATCAAGTGGACACTATCAATTCTATAATGAATCGAAACATAATACATTGAATTCACCAATTGTATAAAACATAAATATTTTAGAAACCTCATGAACTTATGTCACTTTAATCCAAATAGGAATTTGCTATGCTAGGGCATATAAATCCCAACAATTATATCATAAATATCTTTACCTTTACTTTTCTCCTACACTTCATCTTCTTCCTCTCACCAAGGCCTCCAGCATCGTTACACAAACCTAAAGCTTCATTTCCATTGCCTTTCATTAACTTTCTTGACTAGCCATGGAACGGAGTGAGTTTGGGGACACCAAGGCTAACATAACCCTTCCATCATTTTCAGAATCGGAGCATTTCTCACCATGGATTCTAGGGTTTGCTTTCCCTAGTGAGGTAGGAGGTGTTTCCTTATGTTTTGAGGTGTTGTGTATGTTAAGCATGTACAGTGTGAGTTTTGAGTATTTTAATGCATGATTATTGATGACTTAGCTCTTAAATGATATTTTTCAGCATGCCATTGATTAGCTCTTTGACTTAGATACTTACATAACATATATATGTGATGATGTTTGGAAAAATCATGCTTTGTTTATATATGGTTCATGTATTGAGCTGATGTGAGATCAAATGTTAGGTTTGAATGTATATTGTTGTGTTCAATTTTATGTGAGATCAAATGTTAGGTTTCGGATTCGGAAATCTTTTCTCAAAAAGGGTGCTTTATAAAAGACATTGGGTTTATTCAATTGTTGATAATAAAAAAAAAAAATAGATTATGTTTTCCTTTTTAATAATTAAAAAATAGATTTAAACCATTCACTTTTACGATTAAGCTAAATCTAAAGGGTTGGTTTGGGTGGGCCTTTCTGCACTCTCAAAACGGGCTTTCAAACTTAAAACACCCATTTTAAAAAAATATATCTGTTTGGTAAAAAAAATTTAAAGGGTTGAGGAAAATCTTAACTCCTTGAAAGTCCGGGAGAAGATGTTAGGTTACTGATTACAATATTACCCTATTTTAAAACAAGAAAAACAAAAGCTAGAAGATGTTAAAGAGTTGCTAAAAACCTACCAATGACTCCCAATAAATCTCAAAGACCAAGGAGCAAAAGAGTTACGGATTGTAATCCCTCTATAGAATTCTGAACAATCGGTATCTATATATATATTTTAGAAAGTACAAAAAATCCCCCTTGACTTGTAATATTTTTCAATAAATTCACTCGTCTAATTTTTTTACCAAAGAACCCCCTCGATTTGTAGACATTTCCAATAAACCCCTTATCTATTTTGTTTTTTACCAAAGAACCCCCTTCAACTATCTAAAGGGATAAAAGAGTTGATATTACCAACAGGCCAGTAACCTAGCGATACTAAGCCCCTACTTCTTTAAGAGAGGTCTGGCAGGAGTTCGAACCTCGGTGGAGGCATGTGTGTGTGAGTATCTAACTAGAAAAAAAAAAAAAAAAAAAAAAAGTTGATATTTGGACCAAAATATCCTTTTATTTAAATCTTAGTTTTTTCGAACTTCAAAAATTCATATCTCACAAACCACACATCCAAATATTGCAAAAATATATGCACGAAAAACTTATAAAACAAGGATTCCAGAAATATAAGATTTGTTTAACAAAATTTTATAACCAGAGAGAAATACACAATCTTAAAATTTACTACAATAATCTTATTTTATTTATAAAATACTCGGGTTATTAGTAAAAAAATTTTCAGAATTATTCATTTTCATATAAAGCATAACATATAAAAAAAATTAACCCCAATAGAGACCTAATTTTCAATTTTCTTTGTTTGTTTTAAATGGTGAGTCTATAAAATAATGAAAATGCTTTGACGCAAAATATGATATCTCATTAAATTGATCTTTGTTGGGGTAATTTTTTTTATATATTCGGCTCCATATGTAAATCAATAATTCTAAAAATTTTCTTGCAAATATCTCAAGTATTTTATTTTTTAAAAATAAAATAAGATTGTTCGAGTAGATTTTTAGATTGCCAATTTCTCTCTAGTTATGAAGGTTTGTTGTACAAATCTTATGTTTTTGGAATCCTTATTTCATAAGCTTTTCGTGCATATATTATTTACAATTTTTAAATATAAGGTTTTCGAGATATGAATTTTTTAACTTCGGAAGAATTGAGATTTAAATAAAGGGCATTTTGGTCCAAATATCAACTTTTTAACCCCTTCAGATAGTTGAGGGGGGTTCTTTGGTAAAAAATTAGACAAGGGGGATTTATTGGAAAAGGCTACAAGTCAAGGGGGTTGTTTGATAAAAAAAATAGACAATGGGATTTATTAGAAAAGACTACAAGTTGAGGGGGGTTTTCTATACTTTGCCCATATATATATATATATAATATTTTGAAGGTTATTCATTCGTTTTAGATATTACGTTCGCTTGATTCTAAAATTAGGGTTCTATTAATGAAATTGGGTATAGAAGATACTTTTGCCAATCCATTTACTATTTTATTTTTCTTCCCCCTTAATTTTTTTTTCTCTTTCAACTTCTGTTGTTGGGTCAATCCATGATTCTTATTCATCAATGGAAACAGTGGAAAGCATCAACATAGACATTGAAAATCATCAACATATACAGTGAAAGCATCAACAATTGAAGAATAAACAAAATTGATTTCCATTAATTGTTGCTCCATCATAGGTGATTTCCACCCATCCCTTTAATTTTTTATTTTTTTGCCTTTTCTTTTTCTTGTTATGTGGAAGGTTAGTTTAGTTACTTTGGAAGTCAAAGGTGAAAAACTAAGTTTGGACCACTCATTTGGTAGGGGACTTAAGCGCAATCTTGTTAGAAATGGAGCATATAAAACAGATACTTTGGATAAAATTTGGAGTAGATTCCGCTAAGAGATTTTTGTGGATCTATAGATGAATGTGTTCCTCTCCGCAAATGGAGATGAACGTGGTATATTTACTTTCTCAAATCCGTTTTCGGGTGAATAAGAATTTAGCTCCTGTTAGGCGCTGAATGTTATACATTTTATCCACTTTACTTGCATGTTTTACTCTCTTAATAATAGTTTATTTGTGATTTTACATTATTTTATTGTTTTTATTTATTTCAGGGCTTTAATTATAAAATCAGTCAAGACTAGTGATTCTGAACTTTAAAAGATGACATTCCGCGGGACCGAACAATGTTGAAGATCCAAGTCTAATTATACTTAGAAAATAGTCCAAAAGAAGCCACAAGTTGATGAGAATGGAAAGAAGAAGAAAAGGAAAAATCCTTCTCCAAAAAGGAAACTTTCGCCAAAGTTAGTAACTTGAACCCGTTTTGGTAATCTGGCTGTATCTCTCTCCTCGAGTGTCAAAACAGCTAAATTCTCGCGATAGTTAAAAGGAAATTTGAAGAGCTACAATTTTGTATTTCATGAGGATTCCATAAAACAGTTGTTTACCTTGTCAAAATTGGGCTGAAAGGCTGTACGAATTTTGAAGTCCTTATTTGACAGAATTTCTATGTATGTCTTCTATATGAAAAAGGGAATTTTAGGACTGATCTTTTATTATTTAAAGGAAGTCCTCTACAGCATTGAATCGTTATACAGAGGAGCTTGAGGCTGAGATCAAAAGAGAAGCATTCCGAGGAAAGAAGAGATCAATCCATGGCGATGAAGATGTCTTCCTCAACCATGAAGAATTCCACTCCAGTCATGCTTGGCTAAACACTTTGCTAAGGTTGTGATGTAGCTCTAGCTTAGCACATTGGTTTGATTGTATTTATTTATTGAAGAACAATTTTTATCATACATGATTGTGTAATCTATAGGATTTTTAATTGACTTTTCAATAAGAATCGGTTTTAGATTTTTAATTCAATTACAAATATTTTTCTATCTTGTCAAAGATCAATGATGGACATGATGCATGCGCTTATGATTCATAACGGGCTTAATCCCGATGCTCCGCCGCCTCCATTTTAGCTATCTCGCCAGGTGCTTTTGTTCTGTGTTATTATTATTATTTTTTAAGTTCTTATTTTTCTTACTTTTGATTTTTTTCCTAGTGAGGACACTGTCCAATTCAAGTTTGGTGGCATAGAGTCTACTCTAGTTGTTAAAAAAATAATAATAATTAAAAATTACAAAAAAAAAAAAAAAAAAATTCAGTTCTTTTTCTTTGGCATATTGACTTTAATTTATATATTGTTGGGGGGATTAAGACACTTGAAGATGTTTTGAGGGTTTTCTGAAAACTGTTTTCATTTGGGAGAAAACACGGAGAATAGCTCGAGTCACTTAAGTGAGTGACGTTGATTTCTTTCGTTTATGACATCTAACGTTCTTTCTATCTCTTATTCTTTCTACCGTACATCCTCACGCTGTATCAATCTCCTCTTATGCTATCATCCTTTGGCTCTCTCTCTCTTAAAGCTCCTTCTGCAGATCTCTTCAATAAGCTATGGCAAATTTTGTTGGCTGATCGGATTCTGTATCGTCACCAGCCTATGGGAAATCCAGCAAGATTTCACAAAACCTCCACTCTCTCTATCTCTATGACTTCTCTGATCTCTTAGTATGATTTCTCTCACCACTCTAGTCCAATTGAGAATTGAGTTGAACTCTTCAGGTAATCATCAATCCTTTTCTCATCTTTCTCTCTCCAAGATTTTTAGGGCTTTTCTTCAAAATAGAAGAAACCCTCGATTTCTTCATTTTTAGGGCTTTTCTTCAAAATAGAACAAACTCTCTAAGATTCACTTTACCCAATTTCTTCATTTTTAGGGTTTTTCTTCCGGATTTGCTTATCTAAATTCCAATACTGACTTTGGCTTCTATTAGGTTTCAATATCTATAGTTATCATATACGCTAGTTGTCTTGTTCCATTGTTGTTTCTTTCTTTTTTTTTTTTTTTTTTTTTTTTTTTGTTTTTCCTCCTGCTTAATCATTTATATTTCAATGTTTAGGAGTATATATAATCAACCTTGGAAAAACATGGGAGAAGCTTCATATGGCGGCCAGAGTTATTGTTACGATTGAGAACCCTCATAACATAATTGTTCAGTCTGCTAGGCCCTATGGTCAGAGAGTTGTCTTAAAGTTTGCCCAATATACTGGTGCTCATGCAATTGCTAGTCACCATACTCCTGGAACATTTACTAATCAGCTTCAGACTTCATTCAGTGAGCCTCGTCTCCTCATCCTTACAAATCCACAAACTGATCACCAGGTTAGTGATTCTTTCAATTTTTTTACATGCATCATCGTGTGATTGATTATTGAATTGATTCTTTGAACATGGAAAATGCATTAAGTGCAGTCTAGACTGCAGCACTTCTTCATAGGCCAATGAACTAGTAATTATCCCCAAAATTTTAGAACTGATGAAACTGGAATTATTCTATGCTTACTGTCCTCATAGTGTAAAATTCTTGTATGCTATTGTTCTTAAATAAATAATATTTACCCTTTTTGATCCTGATTTGATTTGTTGTAATGAATGGTTGTAGCCTATTAAAGAAGCTGCTCTTAGGAACATTCCCACCATTGCCTTTTGTGATACTGATTCCCCAATGGGGTATGTTGATATTGGCATACCTGCTAATAACAAGGGGAAGCACAGCATTGGCTGTCTGTTCTGGCTATTGGTGAAGATGGTTCTCTGTTCTGGCTATTGGCGAGGATGGTTCTGCAGATGCGCAACACAATTCCTCAAGGGCATAAGTGGGATGTTATGGTATATTTTGTTAGAAAATGTTGCTTTATTGTGCCTGATATTTTATGCTTTTGATTTCAATAAACAAACGGTTGCAACAAAATGATTCTCTTTTGTAATAGTGTGTGTGAGCTATTATCTGATCTGATGTTTGATTTACTTTCTTTGTTAGGTTTGGCATTTACTTGGCCAAGATGTGGAAAGTATATAGAGGCCTCTTTCAAGTTTATGAACATGAATTTCTGTTGTAATTTTTTAATCATTTGATTGTTAACGACACTAAGCAATCATCCAAATGTGATAACAATAAGATTTGTTTAATTGCATAAAGTACTAAAAGAATAGTAGATGATAGGCTTGGTGGTTGAAATTGAATAAATTATATGATAATTAGGATTAGGGAAAAAGAGAGAGCATTAGGTTATTGATTAAATTTAAAAACTATATATAAATCTCTTTGTATCTTAAAACTTTAATAGCTACTTATCATTATAAAGAAAACAGAATTGGATTCTAGAGTGCTTCAAAACAATTCACAGTACCAAACACATATCTCATCACCAGTTTGCTTACCCTCTTCTTTATACTGTACCTTTTTTTTGTTGCTCAGAGACAAGGAGAAAAAACAAATTTGTGTAAATTCTGCATCCCTGTCTACAATTTAAAACTTATAGAAAGTACCATACTAGAAATCAATTATTTCCAAGAATGCGTTGTATGCTAGTTAAAATCCACATGCTATACTAAGTACTGATGTTTAAATTATACAAGGAAACAGACCAAAAAATAAACTAGTGACAAAGCCTTCTTCTATAAAGCTTGAAAATAAAGAGACCCTATTGTTGCCTTTACTTGAAGAATTTCTTAAGACTTGGAAGATCAAGCCCACTCTCTTAAACCTGAAGCTTGAATAGAGAGCTAGTTGGTGCTCCATCTGTGAAGATCAAAGGCAACACTGATATACACTCAAATCATGATTAAGAGACTAGATGATTTTATAAGTTGTTTGAGAAATTCTTCAGCTTTAGCAAAAGATATAAAAGAAGGAACACCATACATCATCAAGAAAAGAACTTTGAGGCCAAAAGCCTTCTGCAATTGTCTCATTCTCAACACTGAAGCAGGATCTCATTTCAACATTCTTCAACTTCACAATTTCCTCACAAGCATCAGTAACTTGATTTCAAAAGCATGTATAATAGTCAAAGCTCTATTCATTGTGTATGCATGTAAGCTAAATTATATTGTCTCTTAAACATGTTATCTTGCTGGTGGTTGTGGTGTGAGAAAGATATTGTAAACAGGGGGGTTGTTCTTGGTGATTTATTGTAAACAAAGGAAGTGATTAGTGAAGAGTGTGCGACCAAGCTTTTTTACCGTTTTGAGTGGTCTGTTAGGTAGTCCATGTTGATTTTTCATGGACGGTATGCTCTCTTTAAGTATATACTAAATGCTTGATGTTTTGGTTCAATATAACATCTCCATTAATAAATAAATAAAAAATGTATTTGAATATCAGGACATTGGATTCAATTTCTTTCTTTTTTATTTTATTTTTTAATGGATGCAATTTATGAATGAATGGGTCTTTTGATTCACACATCTTATTAAATATCTTTATCCCAATCCATGCATGATATACACGTCTTAATACTAAATATTAGTGTACTGAATGCACTTAATTTATCTGATGGTGGTGCAGCACAAATGGGAGCCCTTAGAACTCATCTGATGAATCAAATGTGGGCATCATTCAGAGGCAATGCTAGATGAAGTTACTTTTATTAATTTAAGAATACTAATTATAATGAATTCACCTCCAACAATTATTTATATATATATATATATATATATATATATATATATATATGTATGTATGTATGTATTTACGTTAATAGTTAATTATAATGTCTGTGTTTTATTTATATAAATATATGTGCATATGTGTATATATGTTGGTATGTGGTATAGAATTAAAAACCAAAAGTTTAAGGAAAATAAAAAAGAAAATGGGTGGGATCCACAAGCACTTAAAATGGTCATGAGACCACTTTTGTTTTCATTTTTCTCTCATTTCCCGTAAGGCTCTCTCTCTCTCTCTCGTTCCAGACACTTCTTCTTCTTCTTTTTTTTTTTTTTTTTTTTCTTTTTTTTTTTTTTTTGGTTTCAATCTTCGTCTCTTGATTTCTCTTACCATACTTAGTGTTTTTAAGAGTCGTTTGCGGCTATTCGAAGCCCACGACGAGACCTACAAGTTGATAGGAGCAATACCTTGGTTAGTGCACCATAGAAAATTCGAAATCCTAGGGTTTGAGGTGAATAAATTGGGGGTTTTGCATAAAATTGAGGTAGGGATCTCTAATTTGCATTTTCTTATTCCTTTGTGAGTCAATTCTTATTATTTGATGCCAACATGCTTAATTGAAATTAATTACCTCTAGAATGATTTTATTCTGGGTATAAAGTTCATGATTATATGTGTAATTGTTAATTTGTATGAAAAACATGCTTTGTTATTAATTACTTTATGTTATTATGTTGACAAAATTGCTAAAAATGATACATGGAAGCTTATAGAAATTTTCTTAGAATTATTGTAATTTCTTTATGTTATTATGTTGACAAAATTGCTAGAAATGATACATGGAAGCTTATGGAAAATTTCTTAGAATTATTACAAAGTATGCTTAATATGTTAATTTTTCTATGCCTATGATGCTTAACAATTTATTCGAAATTTTATGTGGAAGTATGTTAATTATGTGATAATAATTCTCTCCATTTCCATAGTATTAAAAAGGCATGTGATATGCATTCATAGTATGGGCATGAAAAAGGGTACAATGATTTGATAAGAATGAAAAAGGAGATTTTTGGGGAGAATTTGATGAAACGGTTTTGAGAAAACCAGGTTGCCTCGGAGTCACCAAAGGGTCGGTGTGTTAATATAGCCTAGAGGGAATTAGGGAGATTGCCCTAGCGTGGTTGAGCTATCTGGGCCCCAAATGACGCTACGGAGGTACCAAAGTTCAGAGGCAGTAGCCAATCCTTCTCTCGTGTCGCTGCGGAGTCACCAGAGGGCGGGTTATATTAACAGTTTGTGAAGTGATGAAAGTTTTCTGAAAATGGGGAGTGACATGCTTGACATTGCATTTATGGCACGACATTCATTTGTTTTAAACTTGCAGATTTACATTGTATTTTCCCTGGTTTAGCATGACCCCTCTCCCTATTATCCTATTCATTATTTGGGTTCACGGGGTCACAAAATGTGCGTCTTAGGCACCACCTACTGAGCTTTTTGCTCACCCCATTATTTAACATTTTTCAGGGCTCGCAAAAGAAGTGGCGGATGACAATTCCCCGCAAGCTTGAAGAAGATTAGGAGTTGTATTTTGTTATCTTTTGTATCTTAGCCCATTTTTTTTTGTATAGTCTCTATGATGTTTCCAATTTTTAGCATTTTTCATTTTTCTGGAATTTCATCAAGGCGAGGGCAATTTCGTCTTTTACCGTTTTGCGTACTGGATACTACGGGGTGTGCCAGTTACGTCTGAGAGTTGTTTGGGACCTTTCATTGAGTCCAGAACTCTTTAAAATGTAAGGGTGATCATTTTTACACTTTTCAGTTTTCGGGCCGGACGGTCTCGTGTGGGACCCGCTGCCAGTATTGTTGCATCCGGGGATTTTGGTTGAGATTCATTTGCATCATATTTAATTTATTTAATGTGTTGCATATGGTTGAGATTTAATGTGTGCATATATGTGTGTATGTGGTGTAAATGGTGATAAAAGGTAAAGGAAAAATAAAAAGAAAAAGGTGGGGCCCACCATTATCACAAAAGGGGTTAAAAATAATTTTTGATCTCATTTCTCACTTCTCAATCTCTCACTCCCACTGGGTTCTTTTTTCTCCCCCTTTACTTGTTTTTTCTTTTTCTTTTGCAATCAAGACTTCAATCATAGATCTCTCTCTCTATATTTGGTATTTTTAAGTGCCGTTTGCTGCAAATTGAAGCCCACGACGAGGCCTATGAGTTGATCGGAGCCAATCTTCATTTGGCCACCATTTGGAAGGTCTCTAATCCTAGGGTTTGAAGTATAAAATTGGGGGTTTTGCATCATTTTAAGGAAGGGGCCTCTAATCCATGTCTTTCTTGTCCCTTTGTGAATTATTTTTCCATATTTGTTGTAGAGCATGCTTAATTTTAAGTTAATTGTCTTGAGAATGATATATTTGTTGTATTTGGAATCTATACTTGTATGTGTTGAAGAAATTATGTGAAAAACATGCTTAGATGTTAATTTACATGCCTACAGTGTTTATTAATTTTTTAGAAGTTGCTATAAAGGAGCATGTTAAATTATGTAGTTTAAATTTCTTTTATGCTCATATTATTGGTGAAGTACATGACATACATTTCATAGCATTGGGCATGAAAGAAAAGGGAAAGTGTTTTGAAATAAAAGTGAAAGGGGATTTTGGGGAGAAATTTTGATAAAGGGTTTTGAGAAAACCCGGTCGCCGTGGAGTCAACAAAGGGCCGGTGTGTTAATATAACCTAGAGGGAACTAAGGAGATTGCCATAGCGTGGTTGAGCTATTTGGGCCCAAAATGACGCTGCGGGGGTACCAAAGGTCAGGGACAATAGCCAATCCTTCTCTCGTGTCGCTGCGGAGTCACCAAAGGGCAAGTTATAATAACAGTTTGTGAAGTGATGGATTTTCCTAAAAATGGGGAGTGACATGCATAACATTGCATTCACAGTATGACATTTAAGTATTTTGGACTTGGGATTGATATGGTATTTTACCCTGCTCTGTATGACCCCATTTCCTATTGATCTATTTATTATTTGGATCCACGGGGCTACAAGAGGTGTGTCTTAGGCACCACCTACTGAGCTTTACGCTTACCCCATTATTTAACATTTTACAGGACTCGGAACAGAGGTAGTGGATGCTGACCTTCCACAAGTATGAGGATGATTAGGAGTTGATTTTGTATCTTTTGTGTATTTCCCATTTTTTGTAAATTCTCAAATTATAGTAAAGTGTAATTATTTTTGTTAACCATGGACATGTATTTGGACCACAACACTTGATTACAAATGTTGTAAATTTGGGACTAAGTGTATACTTCTTGATGAATGGGAAAGGAATGTTGTATTATAATTTGCTAATGGTGCCCATCAAATGTGTATCATCATATTTGTTGCCGTGAATTTGGGAATGGGGTGCGAAATAGGTT